GAGATATATACGCACACTCATATAAACACACATATAGCTTTATACACATATATATACATACATATAGACCTATACACATATACTGTAAACACACACATAAAAACATCCACACACATATAAACATACACATCCAGTATAACCACACAGACACACATACATATAAACATGCACACACATATATAAGCACACACATATACATACACACACATATAAACACACAAATATAAACACACAAATACACACAAACACTCGCATATAAAAACACACACATACATATAATCACAACATGTACACACGCACACACATATAAACACAAATATACACATATATAAACACATAAAGACACATAAACACAAATATAGACACATACACGTATATAAACACGCACATATAAACATACACACATGTATAAACACACTGATAAGCATACACACACATATAAACACACACACATATATAAACACATGTAGACACATACACGTATATAAACACACACATTTAAAAACACACACATATAAACATACACAAATATAAACACACACACTCAAATAAACATATATAAACACACATATAGATATACAAACATATAAACATACACACACATAAACACCCACATGTAAACATACACATACAATATATAAACACATATACTTAAACACACATAAGCACACATAATTAAACACATATGCACACACACACACACACACACACACCTATAACCACTCGGAAATAAACACACACACAGACACACACACACACACACACACACACACATTGTTCACTGGTCTCATGCGCGCACACGCACACACACACACACACACACACACACAGACTGAACATGTGTTTAGGGAAGTGGACTGCAGTGGAATATGCAGCTTCATATGATGATTAATAAAGTGTTTCAGACATCATGACCCTCAGCGGTGTCCAGACCCCTCAGAACAGTCATTGAGAATAACCGTGTGTGTGTGTGTGTGTGTGTGTGTGTGTGTGTGTGTGCAGATCCGCACAGGGCTCCAGCATCAGATCATCTGGCCCTGTCAGCCGTACTGTGTTCCTCTGGATGAGAAGCTCCTGCCGCAGGTCTTGCGCGAGCGAGGGTACCACACACACATGGTGGGCAAGTGGCACCTGGGCATGTTCCAGAAGGACTGTCTGCCCACACACAGAGGCTTCCAGAGCTTCTTCGGTAGGCGGAGCTTCGGCTGACCCAGGATCAGTGCCATGCAGACATACACATAAACCACAGCAGACCGTATACAGTCAGAGCAGGGTCATGTGACACTGAGTGTGTGTGTGCGTGCGTGTGCGTGTGCGTGCGTGTGTGTGTGTGTGTGTGTGCATGTGTGCATATTCATATTTGTGTGTATATATATTCTGTGCATGTGTGTGTGTGCATTTATTTATTTATTTATTTATTTATTTATGTGTGTGCGCAGGTTACCTGACGGGCTCAGAGGATTACTACACACACAAGAGGTGCAGCCCCATCGCTCCTCTGAATGTGACGCGCTGCGCTCTGGACCTGCGGGATGGCGACGCTGTGGCTCTGAACTACAGCGGACGATACTCTACTGAACTGCTGACAGAGAGAGCCACACACATCATCACACAACACACACCTGACCAGGTACAGTACACAAACACACACACACACCTAACCAGGCACAACACACACATGCACACACAGAAAAACACACTGCCCCCTGCTGGAGAAGAGAAGCTTGGCAGTTTAATCAGTGTTACTTCAGCACTTTTATTTAAGTGCAGGTGTGTGTGTATGTGTGTGTGTTGTGCAGCCGCTGTTCCTCTATGTGGCGCTGCAGGCAGTTCACGCACCGCTGCAGGTCCCCGATCACTACATCGCCCCCTACAGCTTCATCCAGGACCCGCACCGCCGCAGGTATGCTGGAATGGTCTCCGCTATGGACGAGGCTGTGGGAAACATCACACACACACTGCAGGAGACGGGGCTGTGGGACAACACTGTGCTCATCTTCTCCACCGGTAACACACACACACATACACCTGACCAGGGGTGCGTTTCCCAAACCACTTCATAACTCGCGGCTGAACTATCATAGCATGATGCATCGGTTAGGAAAAGAGCGATGTAGTGACGAGTGTTTTTTGGTAAAGTCAGGGAGGTCAGACTTAATAAACCTAATTCTTGGCCATGAGTCGGGTCTAAGACAACACACAACTGATAGTTCTATAAGACATCTTCATTTGTGTTCTATTAAATTGTCTATTGAATTTCATTGTAATCAAATTAATATTCATGCAAAATATTTCTTAAATGGTCTGTGCATCACTCCAGGTGTGTCTTTAGATTGGTCTCCACTTACATTTAAGATTCATTTCTGTCATTTAGAATAATAATTGTATAATAACAATAATAATGTTATTTATTTATTTATTTTTAGCGTGAGCTGTGCTCAGCAGGGCTTTATGTGTAGCAACGCCCCTGTCTATAGCTTTCATCATGAGCCATGGCTGCGTTCAAAATGGCATAAATGAATTTAAAGTGCACTGTGAAGGGAACACAAGATCGAAAGGAATAGTCCATAGGGAGGATAACTGGGAATAGAACACAGCCAGGAGCTCTGCTTCTAACTACAGCTCTAGAGGTTGGGAATGTTTGTTGGAACGACGGATCTGGGAAACGCCAAATCAACAACCTGTGTTTGTAAAGACAGAACTTGCATCGTTAGCCAACTAAGGTTGCTTTTCGGAAACACACCCAGGTATACACAAATTAATAATAATAATAAATAATAATAATAACAACAATAATAATAATGCAAACTTGTAATAAGACATTTTTTTGCAGTTATTATAATTATTATAATAATTATTATTATTGATGAATTATTATTGTTGTTGTTGTTGTTATTATTTATTATTATTGTTATTATTATTATTTATTATTGTTATTATTATTATTATTATTATCATTATTATTATTATTATTATTTTTTATATATTATTATTATTATTTATTGTTATTGTTGTTATTATTTATTATTACTATTGTTACTATTATTACTATTTAATTATTATTATTATTGTTGTTGTTGTTTTTATTATTAATTTTATTGGTATTATTATTTATTATTATTGTTGTTATTATTATTATTATTATTATTATTATTATTTATTGTTATTTATTAGCAGTAGTAGTATTTATTGTTATTATTGTTTATTATTATAATTATTTATTATTGTTGTTATTATCATTATTATTATTGTTGTTGTTGTTTATTATAGTAATTATTATTATTATTATTATTATTGTTGTTGTTTATTATTGTTATTACTATTGTTAATATTATTATTTTTTATTGTTATTATTATCATTATTATTATTGTTGTTGTTGTTTATTATAGTTATTATTATTATTATTATTATTATTATTATTATTATTATTATTATTATTATTATTATTACAAAAGTAATAATAAAAGTAAAAGTATTATTACTGTTTTTGGAACAATAATTATAATGTTTCAAACATTGTTATTCAGTTTAAGACAGCGGTTTCATTTTTAAAACAAATAATTATTTAAAAATCTACAATGATTTGAAAATAAACTCATTTAACAGGTGATATACATGTATAAATGATTGTTTCTGGGTAAAGTTATTCAGTATGTTTGATGATATGATGATGAGTATATTATTATTATTATTATTAATATTAATAAGTCTGGTTATTAAGTATTAAATGTGTATTTTGTAGTTATATATATGTATAAACTACAAGTACATATAAACTAAAATATATATAATGATGATGATGATGATGATGATACAAAATGAACTCAAAAACACTTGAACTTGTTTTAATATGCAAACCAGTCATTTAATTAAATGCACTAATTTGCATGCAAATCAGATAAAAATGAATGTTTCTCTTTAATATTTTTAATCAATGTCTTTAAAGAGGATTATAGGGAATGTCTTTTTATCACTCCATAATTTTTTATCACTACAGCCAGAAATATATCTATATCTCCACAGTATTATTCTCTCTTTTAGTGTAAGAGTTTGTGTTGTAGCACTGCTCCTCCATCAGGTGGCGCCGTCTCCTCTCTGTGTTCAGATAACGGTGGTCAGACGCTCTATGGAGGAAACAACTGGCCTCTGCGTGGCAGGAAGTGGACGCTGTGGGAGGGCGGAGTCAGGGGTGTGGCCTTCGTGAGTGGACCACTCATAGAGAAGCCTGGAGCTGTCAATCGAGAGCTGATCCACATCTCTGATTGGCTGCCTACGATTGCGGGTCTGGCAGGGGCGTCAACCAACGGCACCAAACCTCTGGACGGGTTCGATGTGTGGCAGTCCATCAGGTGAAGCTGAGCTCAGCGTTATTTATTAATATCATCATCAGGATGAGTTCTGTGACATTATTTAAAGCAGGATTGATCTGAATCCTCCTGAATGAGTGTTTTAATGACCTCAGATGTGCAGATGAGCTGGCAAACATTTATGAGTTTCTTTCTTCCGTTGAACACTAAAGAAGATATTTTGAAGAATGTTGGAAACTGGTAACCATTGACTTATATAGTAGGAAA